CATGGGGATAATATTCTTAGCAAAGGTAAGGACTTTTCCTCTCCCTTTTTTCTTTCTCTCTCCTATAGAGTAGGTAGTCTAGACAATAGAATGAAATGTTATGAAGAATGCCATAGGTTGACATGATGCATATTACCTTTCTCACTCTTTCTTATGCCATTTCGAAAATGAGACAAGTGAGAGTATGCATTTTGACACTGACCCTCTTATTTCAAGATTTTTTATATCCAATGTTTAAACTGTACCTGTTACAAGGGTTGGGAGTGGGTCAAAGAATGCAGGAAACATGGGTATTTTCATTTTTGATTTATTTTCAACCCTTTGGTAAAATTGGAGTGTGACCTGAGAATTTGTTTTAAAAAGAAATTCCTTTGAAAAATGTACAGGATGTAGCTGGATCCTTTCATTTTTGTGATCATTGTAACTTTAGTGTTACATGATTGTGTAAAGAATAACCTTGATGTTAAAGAAGCTTTTTATTCAGGTGTAAAATACATGAGTTTCTTGTTTGTACATCTTATGTACATCATACTCATTCAGTATCCTACCACAGCCATTTGTGAATTTTGTGCATGCCAAATTCTTAATCTAAAGGGCTCAGGTGTCCCACGTGAGCTCATGATTAAGCAGGCTGTCATATGGCATCCCCCCAGTTTTATTCCAACCCTCCCCAGGGGGTGCTGCAGAAGGTGCGGCAGCCTGAAGGCGTACCAGATGGTTCACCAACACAGGAGAAGCTCACCTCTTCATCAAGCTGCAGCAAGCCTCGGAAGCACAAGACCTCTGACAACGAGCACAGCCATGGATCTTTCTTCCTCAGGATTGGTGCCATTGGTATGTGATCCTTTTCCTCATTTTCTGTCATTACATCACATCCTTGTTAATTAGAATAGCATTAGATAAGAGTTGCTAAATAACCTGAGCAGATTCTGAAATTCCTTTTGTTCTTGTTTTGGTGTGTTAAAAATTATATACACATTAAAAAATTTGTGATATCCATAAAAGTACTGGCTGTTGTCCAAATTTCAAAGATTTACAACATTACCATGTCCCATTTCAAGTGGTTTCAGAATGCATGTTGATTACTTGATCTCATTTTGCAGCCTTTGGTCTTGGCACTATGATCTACAATGGACTGGAGTTTGGTGTGTTCTTTGAGATCCCCACATCATCCCCATGCTACCAGATCTTGCGAGGGGTGAACCCACTGCTGCAGCTGGTGTTCACTTTCATGCAGATGTATTTTGTCTTCATGAATGCCAGGGTAAGCCTTGCTCATAGTTGAAATATTTGAGTAATATGATCTAGTATATTTATAAGTTATATATAATCCAGAGTCTTTTCTTTATATTTGCTGCAGGGTAAAGGAAGTGATATGCTTGAAGTTGTTTTTCTCTGATCTTTGGAAAGAGAAATGTATATGGCAAGGGTTAACACACTCATGACGGGATGATGCTCTATTACATGTCTGCACCATGTGCATTCAAGCCTTCACTAAGTTATGCATATCAAACAATATTGCACTTATATGGCTGTTGCAACATTTGTTGAGGAGAAATATCTCTCAAAAGTAGACTTAAAGCCTCTTTTTAGCCTTATTGTCAAAAAAAAAAAAAAAAAAAAAAAAAAAAAAAAATATATATATATATATATATATATATATATATATATATATATATATATATTTTATATATATATATATATATATATATATATATATATATATATATATATATATATATATATATATATATATGCCACAGCCAAGAGCACAGAAAGAGGTGTAATGCTATGTTTCCTGTGCTTCTGTCCTCAAGCAACTGACTTCTCATTCAACCTGATGCATAGTTCGGTATGGCACTAGGGTTTCCTGTCATGACTGGGTTAACATGGGGTTTCACTTTCTGATTTCCAGTATTTTCTAAATGTTTATTGTTATGACAGTGTCCAATTAGCTAAAGAGTAGGGAATAATGAGTTTTGAATTTCCCACAGCTGAACATCCACAAGTTTAAATTCCTTGCCCGATTTGGCCTGATGCACATCGTTGCAACCAACTTGTGTGTCTGGGTTCGCACTCTGGTGAGGGAAAGTCTGAAGGAGATCAACGAATTCAAGGTATCTCAAGGACAGAGGGGCGAAGACTACATGATTCTAGGTATGTCAAAGCAATAACATTTAACAGTATATAATCTCCCTATGGGTGGGGTTTGGTGCCTTTTCTGAATGGTGAGTTAATTATCTAAGCCCTTTGTACCAGGTAACAGGTTGTGGTGAGCTTCTTTTGGGTTGGAGAGGACATGACTGCTATAGGCTACGTATTCTGATCATAATTTAAGGTCTTCCTTCTTTTCCACCATGTCTTTAGTGGCATGAAATGCTTTAGTGCTGAGCCACTCCCTCCATGTATATTTCTTCTATTCTTTTACAGAGTGAGAGCTATATTACTAGCCTAATTTGTAGTCATTAGCAACAAATCTCTCTTTATGGGAACACTTTTATTAAATTATCTCATTCTAACATGTTTATAGTAATAAGTAGATTCAGAGTCTAAGCTGGATGCCTTTTTATGTCTGTGAGACACAACCTTTCAAGGACTAACAATTCTAGCTGTGTAGATAGTCTGACACTCTCTCTCTTCTCACTGACAGAGGGTATTCGACGAGCACTGGCAAATCGTGGCCTTCTGGCCCCCAACAGGTACCTCTATAATCTGGACGAATTCGTTGAAATGCAGGAAATCAATGAGACCTTGCAGCAGGGTATGTCCATTTGGACTACAGTGCATATTTTTTGTGAGCTTGCGTCTGTTGGACCTAAACCCTCATGTTGACGTTATGGTCTTGTCACCCTAGTGCTTATCATACTTACTCAATTTTGACCGCTCTATATTAGCACAAGAATGTTTTTCCCTACCTTGAATGTTGTATGAGATTTACTTGTAAATATCCCAGATCTAAAGGGATTTCTTATGTAACCCTTAATTCCCAGTTGAACCTACATTTAAATCATGACTATCTTGTTCTGGAGATCTGCATCAAGATGAACTATGCATGACAACTTACAAAGAAGATATGACATAGTTGGAATGCTAGTTAGTTTCTGTACATAGGATGACATATGGCCTTGCCACTTCTGATACTCTTTACCTGCATGTCCTACATGTATTCCCTAGAATGGTTGCAGATTTCCTTTCTTATGCTTTTGTATCTTACTTGAAAGGTTTTATCATGTTAGAAACTTGTGACCCTACATTACAGAGGCATCCATGTTCTCCATTTCTTGTAGGGAGAAATCTAGATTCTGTATACCATTTTTGATTATGTAATTTGTGTGATTATAGAAGTGATGAACCATGCTTGAAGAAACAAAAAGGCATTTCTAACACTATACTCTACAGAGAGCTCTTGGGTGACTGAGGAGGACATTGTAAACCGTACCTGCGGACGTGTTGAGATCATGGGCTCCATTGTTTCGGACTCAGCTCCCTACCTGTACCCATTCATCGTTGAGTATTCTCTCATCGGGGCTTCTGTGCTCTATATCATGTGGAAACACATTGGTCGCAATCCAAGGTACGTTAAATTCCTGTTTTATAAGTGACTTTATGATTATTTAAAAGTATTTTTATTTCCTTTATGCTTTGAAAAGCTTTTAAGTACTCTTGTGTATATTAGTAAAGGTAAATGTAAAGTTTTGTTCATCCTTAATTTAAATATTTTGTCAGAGATATACTCCAAAACATTTATTAAGTTTCAGTCTTTTTTTTTGTACCCAGTAAAAAGTTACATTCCTGTTTGTATATGATGACTTTTTAGTACTCAAATTAATTTATTGATCAAAGCTATCATCACTGTATGCCTATATACTCTAAAGTTTATTTCCAAATGGCAGGTTTGTCTATGATCCTGAAGTCGCTGGGGACGGGATGTCAGTGGTGTCACGCCGTTGCCACTCCCGTGTGGACTGTGTTGGCGCCAGCAAGGGCCTGTTCTGTGGACTCCTTGTGCTGGTGGCTTCACTTATCTGCCTCATCCTCTTCTTTGTCCTAGTCAACCGTGATGAACTCAAGATGCTGGCCATCTACCTGGCTGATTGTTCCCACTGTGGCATCATGTTCTTCAGCATCATCGCTATGTTTATAGGCTTTTTCAGGTAAATTTCCTGTGAGATAAATTTCCTGAGATAATTCATGTATTGTCCATAGTTTGTTGAGTATTTATATGTAAAGTATAGCCGGGAAGGAGATATGTCTAAGGTTTTCTGACAGGGATGTCCCTGGAGAACCAGAGTAGATTCTTTTTTTTACTTTCTAAACCAGGGCTGTCAAACTCATTTACCCCAAGGGACCACATTTCACCTTAGTATACAATATGTGGGCTAGATAATCATGAGCAGACACAACAAAATGGGCATATGGTTGACACAAATTGGTGGAGGCTATTTCATTCATTACAAAAACAAAATAACAGAGAAAAAATGTGAGTCTAAGTGATAATCTTAAAAGACAAAGAACTGGCTTAATTCATCATGTAAAACGGCCAACTATAAGACTGAAATAGCAAATGTGCCACATGCCACACATAGGAGGGTGGCGGGCCACATATTTGATATCCCTGTTCTAGACTTAAACTTACAGATTTTTGATAATTGTAAAAAGCTTGAATGAACACATATTGAAAATTAGTAACAGAATTCATTTGACACAATATAGAATAAGTAAACACATTTGGATTTTAAAAGGTATATTATAATGAATTAATAGACTTATGATGATATAGGGTCTTAATTTTCCTAGTTACCTCTTTGTGTTGAAAAAAACAGCAGTTGTGAAAAACGGATTTGTTCTCTTCCAGAGTTCGTCAATTGAAATTCCATGGAGAACGAGAAGAGGAACTGGATGACATTCTCCTCATGGTCTCAGCCTTTGGTCTCTTTGCATATGCTGTGTTCTCTGCTGTTGCTGGATCTCTCTCAGCTTACACCAAAGAACCAAACTTACTTGTGATGGTTACAGGCATTCTTTCTGTGCTCCAGGTAAATGCTGCTGTGTGACTTTGTATCTTTCAGTATTTTTGAGTGTATATACATATGTGTATAAATATATATATATATATGTATGTATGTGCATATGTACAGGATAAAAAGGAAAAAGGTATTAAAGATATCTTGATCAGCCTTTATATTTTTCACTCAGTTTTCATTGCGTAGTATGAGGCATGAGTAAATTCTAATCCAAGACATTTTATCAATGTCATTTATATTCTGTTATTTGTATTACTCAACTGTATGGTTTGCTCTATAGGTGATTATCCAGATGGTATTCATCAAGGATACACAGCGCCGCCAGGTGTCACTACCTGAACACGAACGAACCAAACCCGGTCGTCAAGTTGTTACGTTCCTGCTCATCTGCAACTTGACCATGTGGGTCATCTACACCTTTGAAACACAAAAGGTGGAAGCAAATCCTGTCCAGGTATGTACTTTGGTTTATAGACTGACTTATCAGTAATATTTCTTATATGGTATTTTCATGAATTGATAAGGTATAAATAACTTTTATCTCATCCTGCCTTTTGTCCCCACAGTTGGAGTTCTTTGGAGACTTACCATGGACCATCCTCCTGCGTTGCACGCTGCCCCTGGCCATCTTCCACCGCTTCCATTCCACAGTGGTCCTGGCTGCCATCTGGAAGAATTCATACAAGACCCGTATTGAATGAGGTTTGCCAGGAAGGCCGCCGCCCACCACGACGGTCCACAGCATCAGTAGTTGCTTTATCCATACCAACGGAGTGGCCCGAGGGGTCCCAGAGAACCCACCCCCGGAGCTGGAACCCATGCTTCACACACCCACTAGTCCCCCACCTGCCCTGGATCAACGCTCAGAACATAAAGTCTCTCTATTCAGTATCATATGAACAGTATCTGTTTCAGTCAATGGTCCAGCAAGATGCTATTTGGAGTATTTACTCATGATAGGTTACAGTAAATATTTCATCAAACAGGGTTTGCATACACAGCATATACTGAAGTTGTTCTACATCAAAATGTGCCATTTTCAATGGAAAATCACGAAGAGTACAAGCAGCAATGATGCTATGGACAAAGTGTTATTTCTTAATATTGTATTAGGTGTTACTCATGAGCAGTTTCCTGCATTTCAATGAAGGAAATTTCAGTGTTTTCATGTGATGATTGATATATTGGATTTACAGTAATCTGTTTCTTAAATCAGTGATCAGTATTTCCGGTGTAACTGCGTGTGAAGGCTACCAGACTCTGTGTTGTAAGTTATGCCTCAAAGCTGTAAATACTGTAGATGCTTACCCCGAGCTTTAAGTCAGGCAACTGCTTTTTGTTATCTGCAGTAATAGTGTACTTTAGGCTAAGTCGCATGGAGAACTCACCTACCCTTAGCTCGTGGGTCCTGATCAAGCTTTTTTTTCGACTATTGCAAATTTTATGCTGTTCAAATTCAACCTGTGCATGATATAATACATTTTACTTGCTTTTAGAGTAAAACTGCAATGAATTTGTAATGAACAGACAAAAAAATCAGCTGGTCGAGATCCACCAAATAAATGTGTTCAGAATGAGTCTCCGGCAGCTACAAAAAGTCACAAAAAAGTTTGTTTTAGTTTCTCTCAATTTCCAAGATTTGTATATACATTAGGCTCACTCCACCATGTGTTTTATCCAGCAGCACTTTCCCAGTTATGTTTATACATTAGACCTAGAACTCCTGCTGCAGTAGAGATGTGTTGCACCATGTAACACAATGGCTGCTTTTGTAAATACCTTATAGCTGTCTTGCTGTGTGTTTGACCCATCTCAGTATTTCTCCATAGTACATGATTAATGGTATTTGTGCAAGGTGGAAAGTATTTCATTTATGATGTCCATTTTATAATATGAATGGAAATATTATTGTAGTGTGATGTATTGTTCACACAGTACTTGATGAGATTCAGTGTCAGTTACTAGACTTCAGAGAGGAAGCTCATAGGGGCATTAGACACCCCAGCTGAGTGTGCTAACATACTGTCTGAGTTCATCAAGTATTTCTTTATTCAGAACCATTTGTATGAAGTGTGTGTTCATTGTACCTGTCCCATATTAGACAAGAGCTACCGAGAATACCTATTAATTTTATCAAACTTATCCCTTCTTCAAAAATCTGTAAAGGTTACTGTGAAGACAATAATGCATGGAAACCCTATTTTCTGGTAAGTGATTCATTATCAAAGTATAGAATATATTTTTTGGTCCCTTTTGTTTCTCTGTAGCTAGTAGCTTTAACGAATCTCTTTGATGAGTATGTGAGTTATTGACCATATAAGATAAAACTTGTGTACAACTTATTGTGCATCTCACATTTTGGGGTTTGGAAACACGACAATAAGTAGGATGACCTGTAGCAAAGTTTTACATGGATTTTGCATTTTTTGAATATGCGTAATTTTGTATTCACGAGCAAGTCAGAAACCGGACTGTTCTCATTTTGCAAAAGACTTGTAGCCATGACTAGTAGCTCTTTTGTGCGTGGCAAGCCTCTGTGAGTTTCATCTGGAGCAAGTCTTCAAGCCGTGTTATACAAGAAGTGTGGCCTGGAGTGCACTACCATGTTGTGGCTTCATCATCACTATTGGTCTGTTGCTAAAGTTTTAGCAAATTTACACTGCCATTAATTTCCAGCATCAGAAAAATTCTGAAAAATACCCTGGTTATTGTGATCTTTCCTCAAAGTGGACCATTCTCTGCCAGGTTAACAGATGCTCATAATTATCCCATCGAAATGATGATGGATTTTGCTAGGACTTGGTAGACAGGCCACAGACTATGTTTATTGCATTAAATATAAATGTTCGTACCATAACTCGACTATCTGTATCCCTATGACTTGTGTGTGCTTACATGAAAATCACTTGAGTGTAGACATTGTTTAATGGTGCAGTATCTTCTGTCAAGTAAATTGTTGCTGAATGTGAATTGGTGACTTTTTATGACATGAAAGTTTTCTGCTACACAGCAGAAATCAATCCCTTTGAAACTTCTTTGCTGCTGATCAACTAAGGCATTTCTTTAATACTAAGTAGGACCTTATTAGTCCTGAAAAAAAAAATGCAGTTTTCAATACAAAGGTAGCACATGTAACATTACCATTAAGAAAGAAAATAAAATTTGAGTATTAAAACACAAACCTTATCTTTTACTTCAGTTAAACAAGTCAAGTATACCTTGAAAGTATATGCATTTGAAGAGAATTTTTAAAAATAACTTTCAGGTATGCATTGAAATTTCATGTATATCTACGTTTACATGTGATACCACTAGAATAAAAGTTGTCAGTATAACTACATTCACTATTTAACTTGTTAATACTCTCTAACTAGTAAGGATATGATCTTTGTATAACAAGTAAGAAATATGAAATTTATAAATTGCATTATTTATAATTCATTATGCTTATAAGTTTGTATCTTGCTTTTTGTGGAAATATGACACCCACACATTTAAGATTAACCATAAATACCTTTACTGTTGATTATTTCATGTCAGCATATTGGAAACGTTAATTGCAAAGTAAAAACCTCACACTCTAAAGATCTGCAAAGTTAACAGATACTTACTCACAAGGTGGTGATCATCTCAAATTTATTTATGGGATATGCATCCAAATATAAAATAATAATACACTTTAGTCAAATGCTCTTCTCTGACAGCAACATGGCATCTTGAAAATAGTACTCTATGCTTTATCTAAAGAAATTTATATATATATATATATATATATATATATATATATATATATATATATATACATAAATAAATAAAGAATGCAATCATACATTCAATGAAAGAAACACAAGTTTCTAAATGTTAGTAATGAATAGGTGGCACATTCAAATATTTTGAAATATTTAATCTCATGCCAAAAGGCATGATGAAAAACCATAAGGTGAGGAAAAAATAAAATAGAAACTTCTTAGAAAATTATATAAATAGGGAAAAAAAAAACATTTTCCTTTAGATCTGTATTACTAGTTCATTAGGATTCAGAGACAAAATTCATGATTACATGACCAAAGGGAGAGAGAGCATGACTGTATGACTACGAAGTCCTCCGGTTCAGTGATGGAATAGGCGGAGATTGGAGTGAACAAGAATCATGCTGTGTTCATCACATGCTTCAATGACAATGTTGTCATTATTTGATCCAGCTGGGCTCACAATGAACTCAACACCACTCTGGAAATTACAGTATATGATAAGTTCTTTGTTATAAAATGAATATTCTCAAATAACAGTAAGTGCAGACTACTCATAGCATATTGAATGAATGTGAAAAAGCAATAGAATAACAGTTATTTGTCATAATCCATGAGATTTGGCTCTCTGCCATTAGGCCAATATGAAAGGTAACAGAGAAGTTCACTTATGGAACACATGGTAAGAATTACTATTATGCCCGAACCCCATACTAAATTATTACAGTGTAAGATAACAGAAAATAATAATTTGAACATTTAAAACTACCAACAGTACCTGCTTTGCTCTGTCAACATTATCCCGGAATGGGAAAAAGGCATCTGATGAAAGGGCAACACCTTTCAGCTTTTGAGTCCAAGCGTCCCTCTCTTCTTGGGTTAGTGTTGCAGGGACCTCCTCAAGCACAGAAGCAAACTGGGATTCTGGCATGTCCTTTCCTACCATATAAAACAGTTTTCATAAAATTCATGATTTCCGTAATCACCGAGGTATGTTTTTTCATACAAATACTAAAACATATATTTAACTGCTTATTAAAGCATATTACAAATATGTAACATAAAAGGATACCAACCAACTGTGCCACCAACAAAGTTATCAATGGCATTTGATTTTTCAGCTCTCTTCACTCCTTCCTTGAATTTCATACTCAGCACTCGAGGATGATGTCGCATCCACCTAGAAGTTACAAAAGTATTTTTTTCTGCATATATATATAACAACTT